GGGGACAGAATGTATCTGCCCTCAGTGTGGAAGGGACTGCCACTCCCGAATTGCCCTTTTTAGCCACACCAGAGGCTGTTTTAGGACCTCTTTCCAGAGCACGATACCATAGTCTTTTGAGACTGAAGGATGCCAACAAATATTCTCATCGTGCCCAGAAGGAGAAATACGTATCTGCCTCTACCAAGGATTGAACTCACAGCCTCCTGATTGTGAGGCGAGAGCTCCACCTCTAGGCCACCGCACCACTCTCTATCTCCAATATGAATGAAGATCTGAAAGAAACCAGCGGTACATAGAATTTCTCAGATACAGACCAGCCAACTTTTTATTGCCCAACAGGTGTAGCTGACTATGGCAAAGAAAGAACCCATGGAATGCCATTTTCTACAAGAGCAAATGGATTAGCTAACTAAGAATGGATGCATTCATAGTACCTGAAGGAGGCAATGTTGTGTCATGGCTCGGTAACAGGCTCTATAACTCTTCATTGTGGGCTTGTCTCCTAAGCAGTATCCCCATTTCTTCACCATGTGAAACCGCTTGGCATGCCAGATGTGTGTTTCCAGCCAAATGTTCTTCTTCTGCCTGCGGTTGAACTCCAGCACCAGGTTTATATGACGGCGCCTGGCTTTACGGCACTTGCTCTTTGGAAGTGCTTTTTTCTGATGTTCCGGTTTCTCTGCCTAGTTTGTTGAAGCAAAGGATAATACTAACATTCACTGCACTGTTTATTAAATTCAGATAACCTGTGAATTGTGATTTGGGAAGGAACGGGAAGAAGATATAGTGACCCAAAGATCCAAAAGGATTATCTTGGGGGGAAAAATCTCAAGAATCGCCAGCAAAAAATAAAGGGTAGGAAATTGGGGGGGAGGGGGATATCTGAATAGTCCACAGAGGATAAAACTCTGCCATAACATTTACTGGGGTTAGGAATCCTGCATTTTTTTTTTAAAGAAATCCCACATTTTCCAGAATTCTAAACATGGCCATGTTGGGTCAATAATGCTAAAGATTGAAGTCCCGTAGTTGTGGAGGACATCTAAAGGTAAAAATAAAGGTTCCCCTCGCATATATGTGCTAGTTGCTCCCAATTCTAGGGGTGGTGCTTATCTCCGTTTCAAAGCCAAAGAGCCAGTGCTGTCCAAAGTCATCTCCGTGGTCATGTGGCCAGCGTGACTAGACACCAAGGGTGCTGGAACGCTGTTACCTTCCCACCAAAGGTGGTCCCTATTTTTCCACTTGCATTTTTATATGCTTTCAAACTGCTAGGTTGGCAGAAGCTGGGACAAGTAATGGGAGCTCACCCCGTTACGCAGCCCTAGGGATTCGAACCGCCAACCTTTCTGATCGACAAGCTCATCTTAGCCACTGAACCACCGCATCCCTTGGAGGACATCTAGATCGATACTTATAACACTTGGCAGCTTTAAGCTGCGAGGACTTCAACTTCCACTAGCCATATTGCTAGTGTGCACAGGTTACCTAGCAGGCAAAGTATTAAGAAAGCTAAAGCGGGTAAGTAAGGAAAAGAAACTCACTTCTATTGTGGCAAGTTGACGGAGACGTCGTGGCAAACGTTTAACATTATGACTCATAGCTCGCCTCCTCATGTGTCTAGGCAAGGACTGAAACACCAAAGTATTGGATGACTTCTGTTTAACAGCCTTCAACATAGCCTTAATTTCAGCAGCTCGGGCTTGCACAAAAGGAGACACTAGAAAAAGACATTTTGCTTAAAAATTCAGTTTGAAGAAGAGACAGTATTTTGAAACAGACTTTCCCAAAGAAAAAGATCCTCTGAAAAATGAAGAAATCTGCCGATTTCTTCATTTTTACTTCTGTTTTTGGGTTATTTACAATTTAACAATGCTGGTTTAAGCAGCTGCAAATTCAATGCCAATGTTTGCTTATGCTTTGGGGGGGGGGTGCTATTTGCATAATTTAAGAATCAGCTTACTGAAGAATATAGAATCTAGCAAACTACGTTGCTTGGTCAAAACTAGGAACAAAACTTCCAATATTTTTTTTTGTGGCCCTCCTAAGGATGAGCTCAAGGATTGCTATGGATAATTTTACAGTTGAACACAAAGGAAAGTCTAGAGATAAAGTACAGCAGGGGAGTGGAGACAAACTGCATAGCAAAGTCTAAGATCAGTTCAGGCCAGATTAAAAGTGACTCTTGCCTACTTTATAGCACTAAATGTAGCATTTCACAGATGGCTGGCTACTCTTGGATACTCACCTGTTATGCATTTTGGCATTTCATGGGAAACTTTTTGATAGAAGCCTTGTTGTGAAGTTTCAAAATGCAACTCTGTTGATAAATCGGGGAAAGTTTTATATTATAAAATGACTAAAACGTCAGGAGTGTACATAAAAATTTAGCGGCAAATGTCTATTTGATAAATTAAGTATATAAAAATATATTCTATCATTTTCTAAAAAGGTTTGAGATTATTTATACTTCAGTGTGTTGCCACACTACAGAAAATACCTGTATGGAAGTAGTATCCTTTACATGTAAGTTATGTTTATCAGCAATGATCAAACAGATTCTGTAAATAGTATTAATACCAAGAATAACTATTAGGCCCAGCTGTGGTGTAGTAACTATTAGAAACAGTTTGAAGTAGTGGCTAATGTACCAGTCTAGAAATGGGAAGACTGGGAGTTCTAGTTCTACCTTAGACCCAAACCATCTGGGTGACCTTGGACCAGTCACTTTCTCTAACCTTCAAGCAATGACAAACCACTTCCAAATTTTGATCTAAAAAGCTAAGCAGGATTGGATTGGATAAGAACTTAGATAAGAAACCCTCCAAAGTATTCTAAGGCTGTAAATTAGACTGGAAACAAACAAACAACAATATCCTGGAAGGAGACAATAGCAAATCTATTAGAATATTCATGACTAGGAGAGACATGATAACAAGGTCAGCCAAAGAAAAGGCATAGCAAAAAGATCAGCCAATAGGAGCTGAAACAGCTAGGGGCCAGGGTGTGGTTTAGCCTGCAACCTTCTAAGTCTGTGCAAAGATACCAGGAGACCATGAGTTCCAGTCCACTCTTACACTCAAAGCTGGCTGAGTGACTTTGGGTCAGTTACTCTCTTTCAGTTCAACCCAACTCATAGGAGTCTTGTTGTGGGAAAACAGGAAGTAAGAGTATTATGTCTGTCACCTTGAGTTGTACAAAATAAAGGTGGAATATAAATCAAATCAAACAAATCAATAAACTCCCAGGAACTCTATATAAACTTGGGAAAATCAGTGTTTGTTCTTACAGTTTTAAAAATAACTTGAAAATGGAAAGAATGCTAAGCGGCAATACCTCGGTCTTTATGATCTACTTGCAATTCCAAGACTATAAGCTGGACAGTGAAGTTGAATGACAAGCAATAAATAATATTATTATTCTGTAATGACCACTAGCAGACCTCTTGATAAATTTCTTAGATTTATTTTAAGAAGTCCAACACTGTTCAAAGATTTAGCTGCTAAACGTAACAAATACCTTGTTTCTTCCGCTGAGGAGTTCTTTCGCCTCCATTCCAAAAATATGCTTCATTGTGACTTGGCCCAGCATCAAAAGGATAGGTCACACTAGCAGGCTGGTTTTTCATTTTCTTGCCTCTTCTTTTTTGTTTTGCATTTGACATTTCTGCAGTGGAAAATGCCGCATAATAAAATAGCCTTTATCTCCAGTGGTTTGAAAAACACAACAGAAGTCATAACACACATGCAGTGCTTTAAAACTGCTCATTATTTACATTTTTCAACATTTTTTACTAAAAGAGCAACTTAAAAAAATTATTACAGAATTAACAGTAACAAACTATCCTGAAAACTGAATGGCACCACAACAGCAATGTGCAAACATAATAAAATTCATTATGCATATGTAACTATACATATATAAAGTGCATACATTGCTTTCTTTTCACATCTTTGGAAGCATTTAGAAACATTTATACAAAAATGAAATTTAAATTTAAAAAATGAGTTGTGGCCAATGATAAACTCTTGCAGTTACCTGCACTGAAAAATCTTTTGCATTTACATGCATTACCCTCAAGCTGCAGTGAAATATGTCAGCATCTGTCATGGTGATGCTGCGCAAAAGCTGCTGCTGGACTTTTGCTGCTTTGGTACAAGCATAGTTTAGTAATGCTAACCAAGAAGAAACAACAGGAAGGATTTTGCCAATCGTCAGAACTGGTGCTTCAAAACGGGGCGCAGAGCATTAACATTTAAATTTCTGCAGCCTCGCTGTGTACCCAACAGAACTCCAGCGGGATTCTAAATGAAGGTATTTTCTACCACCCAAAAAGCCCTCAACCCGGAAGAAAATGGACTCGCCCCAATGAACATTATTGCACAGGACAATCTCAACTAAAACCGGGCATCAATTCAGGAACGTAGGCAAGCCATAAAAACCTCTACTAATCCCACTTCTCACTCGCCCAAGAGGCAGCTTCCCACAGGGCAGTTCAGGGGTAAAGACCAATGCGCCCTCCCAGACACACAGTGTTTTCCGGGGGGGGACGGACCTTCAGCCTGCCCTAAGCAACCAAGCCTCCATTCCTCGTGGCCCAGCGCACAAGTTCTTCAATTGTGCCCCCGAGCCAACCTTCCCTCCCCTTCAACCGCCCTACCGACGTTGCCAATCCGGGGGCCAAAGAGCCTCTCACCCTCCGCGTTCTCCTCGCACGCGGTTTCCAGCAGGACAGAAAAAGGCGGGGCCGCTTCTCCCTCTGGGATCCTTTTCTCTCTTTCCACCAATCGCGTGGTAGCCGCTTCCGCCTGAAAGCAGCAGCCTTCGAGACCAGCTCCTGCAACGTTTACCTTGAAGACCACATCCCCCAGAATCCTTCGCGGCACCTACGGTGGGCGAAGAGGGCTCGAAAAAATGGTTCATGGGAAAAAGCGCGCCCGCTTTTTCGATCTGTCGGACGAGGGGGCGGCGTCGCCGAGGGAGGCGGGGCAGGGTTGAGTTGGGTGCGGGTAAAAGTTCAGGAGCAGCGAAGCGTCGGCTTTGTTGGCTTGCCAGTTGCCGAAGGAGTACCTGTTCCGCTGTTTTTGCCGCTATGGCTACGTTAGTGAAGAGAATCATCAGTACTACAAGGGCTCCCGCTGCTATGGGTCCTTACAGGTAAGAGGGGGGGGGAGTGAAAAGTGCTTTTTGACATAACTTAGCCTATGGAACTCACTGCCACTAGATGTGAGCTTTGCCCAAATTGGTTCTTCCCGGGTCCAGAGGGGAGAGCACGGGTTACAGCAGCTTCTGCACAGGGAGAAATGTCAAATGGACTAAAGTTTCTTCCCCAATGTGGGAAGAAAGTGAACATGTTGTAGTCTACAATAACTTGATTTGGCAATTCCAGCTGTTGCTCAAAAACATTGCAACATCTAAAATATGTCCATATTTAATATAGTAAAAAATAGGAATAAAAATGGGTTTGCTGTTGCATAGGTATAAAACATAAGTAATGGATAAGGTGACTGTTAAGCATATATCTATCAAACAATGTTTAAAAAGCCTCTTGAAGACTTTCCAGGAGTCTTGTTTTCTGCTTTCTCTGAGGGGCAATACCAAATTGTTTGGAGCAAAATCCCCTGGACTCAATAAATTTTACATTTGAATAAATTCCTTTGGAAGGACAGCTACTGAAGCCAAAGCTCAATTACTTTGGAAGATTCATATGAAAAGACCCCGATGTTGGAAAAGATTGAAGGCAAAAGGAGAAGGGGACAGCAGAGGATGGGATGGTTAAATAGTATCATTGACGCAATGAACATGAATTTGGGCAGGGCAAGGGAGCTGGGAAGGACTGGATGGGGAGAAGGCTGGCATGCTATGGTCCAAGGGGTTGCGAAGAATTGGACCCAACTGAATGAACAAGACCAGCCTTGCCCTTATTTCGAGCACATCATCCCTAAGACTGCAAACTTTTATCTGAGAGAAGCTGAACTGAAGTAGTAAATGTTAATTTTTGAGCACAGTTATAGGAATGCTCTATCAATGTTGCTAGGAATGCCACAAAACGTAAATTTCATTAAATTTTAAATTGTGATATATATATATATATATATATATATATATATATATATATATA